CAACTAGTTCCTTGAATTTCCTTAGCTCTTGAAAGCAAGTACCACAAGTGTAGTACCTCTAATGGCTCACAAACACACTAGGTGAAAGAATGAATATGGGAGAGAGGAGAGAAGGGTATCTTGCCCTAAAATTCGTCCCTTTTAGGGTTTCCCAAGGCTTGGACGAATTCTAGTGCCTTAGGGTGCTATTTATACTGGAGGCTAGCTAGGGTTTCAAGGTGGAAACCCTAATCCCTTAGCTTAGGGCCTAAGCAAGTCCATGGACTCCTTTCCTTAAGCCCTTGGACGAAAACTCCTAGATCCTTCTAGGATTTTCGTTCAAGCCTTAATAAAGGTGATCCAATAGCCCAAAGTCTCAACTATCAAATAATTACAAAACAGCCCTTGTACTTTTAATTAATTCCTTTAATCCCGAAATTAATTCCTAATTAATTTCTGATTAAATACTAATTAATAATATGATTCCAAATTATTATATTAATCATATAATATAATAAATAAATCATATTTATGCCCTAATCAACCTCTCTCCTCAACTGTCATCCTGTCTAGTCACTCGTGTGAAGGCAACCCAAAAGGACCATGCTCACAATCGGGTCAAGTACATACCAAAATAGTTATGGACTTAGACACTAATCCAACACATATATGCTGAGGGGTTGTAGGTAGTGGGGATGTTGTCATGATAATCTTCTTGCTGAAAGGTAACCTCACTATAGCAGGATGCAGTGTGGGGAGCGCTTCATCGATCGTCCGAGCACAAGAGAACCATGATGACTGTGAGAGAGGAAACACCGAGAGTGCGATGTAAAGCGTGGGACAGGCTTGTGATGCGTGACTCATGGTACGCGGCGATGCGCGACTTGTTGCGCGACTTAGAAGAATAGCCTGGGCTTAGCAGTTAGCGATCTAGGGGATGTCAAGCGGGAGAGCATCGCGTGTAACAGATCGAACTTAGCCGCCAACGATCGTAGGTTTACCACGCAGGAGAGCATCGCGGGGGATGGATCGGGCTCGGCTGCCAGCGATCGTAGATACATCACGCGGGAGAGCATCGCGTGGAATGGATCGGGCTCGGCTGCAGCGATCGTAGATACATCACGTGGGAGAGCATCGCGTGGAATGGATCGGGCTTGGCTGCCAGCGATCGTAGATACATCACGCGGGAGAGCATCGCGTAGAATCAAATAGGCAAAGGTTGTATGTCTTTGAGTCTCGTTGGTGGAGCATGCTGCTGATGGAGTCAGGCTGAGAAGCCAAGCGACTCAAGGCAAGGATGTTGAACCTTGCATACGGAGCCCACCGCTATAATGGAGTCGGGCTGAGAAGCCAAGCGACTCAAGGCAAGGATGTTGGACCTTGCGTATGGAGCCCACAACTATAATGGAGTCGGGCTGAGAAACCAAGAGACTCGAGGCAAGGGTACTGAACCTCACATACAGAGCTTGCCACTATGATGGAGTCGGGCTGAGAAGCCAGACGACTCATGGCGAGGGTACTGAACCTCGCATGCGAAGCTTGCCGCTATAATGGAGTCGGGCTGAGAAGCCAGACGACTCATGGCGAGGGTACTGAACCTCGCATGCGGAGCTTGCCGCTATAATGGAGTCGGGCTGAGAAGCCAAGCGACTCAAGGCGAGGGTATTGAACCTCGCATGCAGAGCTTGCCGCTATAATGGAGTCGGGCTGAGAAGCCAAGCGACTCAAGGCGAGGGTATTGAACCTCGCAGAGTTGGGCGTAGCGGCTGACAATCTATGTATCTGGCTCGGGGATCAGTCTGGGCCGAAGTGCAATGGCACTTGATGCTTTGCTGCATCACTAGCTATAGCTATGATTGGTGCCTCGCTGTCTTGGCTGTTTGTCGAGGGTTACGCAGTGATGCTACTTAGAGTTGGATAATGTAGCTGTTGTCAAGTGGTATGTAGTGAGACTGCTGTCGAGAGCTTATCAACAAGGTTGGTGGGGGCCAAGCAGCAAGCTGCTAGCGATAGATGAGCAGCACAACTATTGAGAGTTGAAACACGAGGCTGCTCTTTCAATCCAGAATATTATCGTCACCTCGGGAGCACACTATCATGCATAGCATCAGCTCTTCATGCACTTCAACTCTGCCTCTTCGAAATAAAAATCACTTTTGCATAGGGCCGAGGAGCCTGACGACTCAAGGCAAGGATGTCGAACCCTGCATGATTGGGCGCAACGACTGGCAATCTATGTGTTTGGCCCAGGTTATCAGGAGCAGATGAAGTGTAATGGCACCTGGTGCCCTGCCGTATTATCAACTATAGCGATGATTTATGCCTCGTTTTCTAATGACTTTGTCAAGAGTTATGCAGCGAGGCTATCGAGAGCAGGACTGTAGGGCTGCTGTCAGGAGTTAAGCAACATGCCGCTGAGGACTGGGCAACGAGCTACTACCGATAGATAGGCAGCATGATTACTGAAAGTTGGGCGACGAGACTCCCGAGGGTTGAACTACGATGCTGCTCTTTCAATCCGGAATACTAGTGCCACCTCAGGAATGCACTATTATGCATAGTATCAACTCTTCATGTACTTTAACTCTGCCCATTCTGAATAAAAATCACTTCTGCCTAGTGTCGTACCAGCCCTTCCCCCATCCCCCCTTTTTCTTAGAGGAGGGGAGGAAACTGAATGATGGACGCATAACTGATGGAAACTGAGCGACATAGTCGCTGAAAAAGCTAAGTGACATAAGTGCCAACAAAAACTGGGTAGCGCGGCTGTCAAGAGTTGGGCAACGCGACTGTTGGGGATCAGACCATGTAACTGCTGATGACTGGGCTTTGCGGCTGCTGAGCTGGGTCTCATGGTTGCTGAGGACTAGGTTGCGCGACCGATGAGATCCAGGCAGCATGACTGCTGGGAGCTGAGCAGCGAGACTATCAAGGGCCGGTCAGCGTGAATGGTGAGAGTTGAGTAGCAAGTCTGACTGAGGTTGGTTGTTGGGATCTAGGAAGTGCAGCCGCCGAGGAGTAGGCCTTACGGCTACTCTTTCATCTATAATACTAATGTCTTCCTGAGAATTCATGACCATATATCGTCCGCTTGTTATGTAGTTAAACTCCTTGCTTGAAATAACACTTCTGTAGTGTTGTCCTAACCCTTCCCCCCCTCCCCCTCCCCCTTTTTACCTTAGAGGAGGCGAAGAAAGGGAAAGATGGATGTATAGCTGCTGAAAGCTGAGATACATAGCTATTGAGAAGAGCTAGGCGATGTGAGTGCTAACAAGAGATGGGTAGCGTGGCTGCCGAGAGCAGGGCAGCGTGACTGCGGGATGTCGGTCAACACGACTGATGAGAGCTGAGCTACGAGACCGCTCAGGGCCAGCCATCACGGCTGCTAATAGTCGCGTAACGTGGTTGATGTTTGGTGTTGGGCTATGAAGCTTCTCTTTCATTTATACCACCAAACTCTTTCCCGCGGATGCACAATCGTATATAACGTCAATTCATTATGTAATTCAGCTCTTTACTCGAAATAGAAATGACACCTCTGCATAATGTTAATACTCCTTCCACTCCCACCCCCCCCCCCCTTTTATTTTTTTTATAATTATTTTTTTTAAAAAGGAAAAGTGGAGGGGGATATTGGCTTGTGCTTGCACGTTCGAGCCTCATTCGTTTGTACATGCCATTGTAAACAATAATAGTAAGTTATCTAGCTCCATACTATGTGAACGGTCGTAATATAAATGTTTGATAATGGCAACTAAAATGGCTTTTGTGAACGCAATTTTGGAAATTGTTCACAACATATGCCATTGTTTAAACTTGTATAGACAAACTACTTGTGCGTTGTATAAATACTTGAGCAGTATGCAATTAGTAGTTGCAAACTAATGATGAAAAAATGGTTTGATTGTATCGAAAATTGTTTGTCAATTTAGTTATCAAAACGTGGTATTTTGCATAAGATGTTGTAGTAAAACGATTATCTACTATGTAGTAGATTAGTATTTTGCATAGATATCTTAACTCACTGAAGGTAAAGGCATGTCACGATTGTCATAATAAAGCTTTTAGTAAATATCCTTAGTTTTTACTAAATGGAGATAATAAATAAATGACATTAATTTACTTGAGGAAGGAGAGAAAGTAGACCTTGATCATTTATCTCGCGATCGTATTCTAAAATGCTTCATGGAGTAGTAGTAGCATGCTCCTCTTTTCCCTCTTTTTTTTTTTGAAAATGTCGAGTGATCCGGGCCGCAACGCGTGTTCTGAAAATGTTTTTTTTTCTTTTTTTGTAGAGCGAAGTTTGCGGCACGCAACTATTAAATTTCTGATTTTTGTCTTGTAAAAATGGCTCATGTTACTTGTTGACATAGCCCAATATGATCAAATACCAATATAATAGGAGCTAAGATGTATTCTGCCGCCCAATAGCTTGAGAGAAAACATCTTGAAGAAACCCACTATAGAATTATAGGCCCAACTTTCTTGTATGAGAAATGTCCAACAATGTGAAGAAGCCCGAAATAAAATGGCAACCCATTTTCGAAATGGTAAAGGCCCAAGATAAGGATTATTGGAATCACTCGTGATTATCAGCCCAATATTAATTTTCTTGCATGAACTATATACACAAATGGGTATTACCTCCTTTTTTTTTCTTAAAAATGTCGCGAGAGTTCGACTTGCAACGCATTCTGTTGAGCGGAGCTTGCGGTGCGTGAGCGTTAGTTGACCGACTGTTAAATTTGTCTCATAAGATAAGTCCGATTTATTGTTGTGGTGGTCCAGTGAATGGAAGAAACCCGTTTCAAAAAAAAAAAAAAAAAAAAATCCAATAAGTTGGTAGGAGCCCGTTTGAGGAATTGTTGGCCTAAGTTCTTTTCCTTTCACTTTCTCGTGTATGCCCATTGTGGGCCAAGGATACCAAGTACTAAGGCCCACTTAATTTAATCAGTTTTGGGGATGCGTCTTCTAGGAATAAATGCCCAAAAGGAAAACAAACGAACGAAGATCTTGAAATTTTAAGCGACGATTTTTTTTCCTTTTTTTTTTTTGAAAGCGTCTAAGCTCGCCGCCTGTAAGGGGAGACCGGAGAAACTACTCCACCGACGGTGGCGCGATTTGGAGTTTAAATCGCTGGAGATCAACTGGTGTAGAGAGAGATCGGAGCAACGATGTAGTTGCCGGCATCGATCTACCGGGTTTCCGGATGCTGGGGAACGAAGGCAGAAAGAGGATCGGTTGATTGGTTCGTGCCTCAGAGAGATGCCAGAAAACGCGTCTGGGCTAATATCAGGTTGGTCGACGATCTTGGTGGTTTCTCTTCGGACGTCGTCGTTGGCGACGCTATTCTGATGCTTCCGTTTGAGGGTGTTCATCGGCTAGAATAGCAACGGTGGTCATGATGGTTATTCTCCACAGGTCTTTTGGTTGCAGGGGATTCAAGTGGAATTCGTCGATGGCAGCTGGTGGTATTTCAGTCATCCAGGGAAGGAAGTCGGAACAGTAATCGGTTTCTAGTGGTGGTGCTGGTCCGCTGGTTCGCCATTGTTGAAGGTAGATCGGAGATGGCGATGGTCGACAGCTGTAAGTGATTTCTGTCGTCAAAGCTACTGCTACTGGAGGATCGACAGGAGGTCACGGTGGTGCTGAAGATGTTGTTGCTCTGGAAGTGGCTACCGGGATTCGACCGGTGACGCCTTGGCTTCGTTCGCCGGCGACTGAAATTGTTACTTATTGAAGATGCCCGTTGATTGGGTTAAATGGAGAGGCTCTCGTCTGTGAGGAGAGAAAGTCCAGTGGGGCCGACTGCATTTGACTTTTGTGTATATGGACCAGGTGGGTCCCGTTAGACTGTTTATGGTGTACACTGTCTTTTCATCCCTTTTTTTTTCTTGAGAGTGCAGTAAATACGATTCTTGATATCTTTTTGTATAATGTGTTGTAAATATTAGCTGTAAAGATTTTATCTGTGTATATACACATGTTTTTTTTACAGATATCGGTTCTTCTTTAGAACTCCTCTCCACCCTTTTTTTTTAATTTAACTAAAAAGAAAACAGAGACACTTTTCTCTTGCACCATACTTTTTTTTTTACTAAGCTGTAAACTAAAAAGTTGGGTAAACTTTTGAAATAAAGTATCTAAATGTGATTTTGAAATAAAGTATCTAAATGTGATTTTGAAATGAAGTGGTTTTGAGAAATATCTAAACATAACAGAGTTGTACATTTGGGGTTATCAATTAAAATGAACTTTATGACGATATAAACTAATATAAAAAGATGGTAAAGAACCCATATGAAGCTTTTTTTTTCTTTTTCTTTTTCTTCTTAAATCTGGACAAAACCACCAAAATATGGTCTAAAACAGATCTGGAAAATTATTTGTAAACAAAAACGCAGCAGATCTAAGGATTTGAGCTACAAACACAGCAAATCAGACTATGAATGTTTAAAGGGTAAAATTCCTAAAAATTTCTTTCTTTCTCAAACTTCTAAGTAAACACAAACAACTTGAAAGAAGTTGTACATAGAAAATCAAACTTGCCGAAGATAATACAAAAAACCTCTTTTTCTGTTTTCAAATTTCTAAAGAAAACATCAAACAAACCACAAAAATTTATCCTCAAACTTGCTGAAGAAAACCCCAAGATGTAACTTAAAAACGGATCTGATAGGGTTTTGAGTAAGCTTGAAAGATGTTTGAATGAACAAAAATAAGAGTGAATCTGCAGATCTGAAAAAATTCATTTTCCTTCTGCAAGCTTTGAAGGAAACACTAAATAGGCAGCTTCAACAGTGTTTTGCTAAGAAAATCATAAACCAAAAACGATTTCTTTTAGGAAAAAAACTGGAGATGAGGTAAAACACCACTAAAATTTAATTTCTTCTCATGTTACTTGATAAAACACAAAAATAAAAACGAAAATGGGTTAAGAACTCATAAGAACTTCTCAAATGATCGAAAACCAAGCATATTCAGACATCTGAACAACAAACAAAAGTAGATCTAACGATCTAAACAAAAACTCAACAGATCTTGAGATCTGAACGAAAAACTAAGCAGATCAATAGATTTGAACGAAAAACTCATAAAAATTTCTTTTATCTTCATCCTACTCAAGAAACCCCCAGAATATGAATCAAAAAACGATTCTAAGAAGATTTTTGCAAACTTGGAAAGTGTTTGAGTGAAGGAAATCATATAGATCCATAGATATGGACTAAAAAACATGATGGATCTACAGATCTAAAAGATGGTGAAGCAAAATTTGAACATATCTTGGCAAAAAATAAACAGTTTTGAACAAAAACCCTAAGCAGATAAAGAGATCTGAAACATAGAACACATCAGATCAAGAGATCTGAGGGGTGGCTAATCAGATCTAAACAGATCTTGGCAAGAGCCAACGGATCTGAACAAATAGTGCTAAATATGAGCATATCTGAGCAAACCTGAGCTAAAATGCAACAGATCTGAACAAATCTAGGCAAGAACAAGGTGATGGCTGCTTGCTCAAGTCCGGGATGGCGCCAAATGATGCGACATCGACCTCCGACGATTCTTCTGGTCTTCTGCTGCAGCGGAGATCTGGACATCACAGTGCAAAGTCGTTAGAGCCGCCCCAGGGACTGTGCCCCGGGAGCGGACTCCGACGGTCAAGTTAGATCATCCGGTAGATCTGAGATGGTTCTCCTTAGCTAGAGAGAACCATCTTGGTGCTGGTGGTGTATGGTGGTTGACGGCGGCGAGTGGCGGTGGAGCCACCCGGCCGGAGTACAGGGGGGCGGCTAAGCCAAGGGGAAGATCCCTCTCCATGGAGGAGATACTATTCATTATATAGGGGGCAATTAGGTCAAGGGGAATTAGGCCAGGCCTTGGGCCAGCCCAATTCAGGCCCAACTAGCAAGGAGCTGGGCAAGACCGCCCGGAGGCGCCGGACGGGGCTGGCGGGCGCGCCCCAGGCAGGGCTGGCGGGCGCTCACCAGGAAAGGATGGCAGGGGGAGTGCCAGACAAGGGAGCGCCTGGCCGAGCCGGCAGGAGAATCCCCAGTAGGGCTAGCAAGGGAGTCCCCAGCAAGGCTGACAAGGGAACGCCAGGCAGGGCTGGCAGGAGCACGTCAGGCTAGGCTGGCGCGCTAGAGCAGTCTAGGCCATGCTAATGGACCATATATCATCAAGTCCACCCAGTCTGATGTTATTGGTGCGCGGCCAATGACATCGGACTGGACTTAGTCATATAAACTGTGCGTCGTCAGGGACTAATTATGGTAATTAGTTATATTTATATGTGTTGGGCTTATGATCCATGTTGGACCAAGTTTATGTATGGATACATAAAGAGTTGGGCCACATGAACCATGGATCATAACACCCATGGGTATGGATTTGGGCTATACCCATGACCCTTGGAATCCTACATATAAATATGTCCATTCATAGCCAAAAATGCTAAGACTTGTACTTGGAGTTCATGGAGGTGTTTTTGGTGTGGAAGGAATTCTCTCTCAAGTTCCACCTTTGTTCATGATGTTTTGTGACTTCATTTGAGGCTTCCACACTATTGGGGCTAAGCTCTTAACGCCAAATACATCAAGACTTCAAGCTACATAAAAGGTATGTTACTCTAACTAGTATCTTGTATGGTATATAACAATTGCATGCTAGTTATAGGCTTAATACCTTGGAAACATCATTGCATGTATAATTAGTGAAAGCATAGATCCAATGTATTTAGGGTTGTATGTGCACCATAGGATGTTGTAGTATACAAAACCCAACAAACTGGAATGCTCTGCTCTTCACCACAGGAGTCTCCGCCTTGCCCTGGTGGCCATCGGTAATCCTCAAGGTGACTGGCGTAGGCGCCACCACTGCTCCCCCATACAACCTCAAACAATCAGCCTTTTTATGGTCGGTCTGGTTGCAATGAAAACAAATCAAGCCCTTCTTGGGGCACTCCCTGCTCATGTCGCCCGACTGACCACAACTGTAACATATCGAGCCTGCTACCTGACAGGCCCCACTGTGCGACTTGCCGCACTTGGCATAACAGTCCCGGCCCTGCTGGCCTCTGCCAGAAGTATCGGAGGTTTTGGGCTTCTTGGCCAGGCCCACTGCTGTGTGCACGTGCTCCGGCTTCCGCTTCGTCCGGAGCTCCAACTCGATTTCCTTATCACGGGTCTTCTCAATCATATCATTCAGGGTCTTGCACCCTGAGAAACTCATGAACTCCATGATATCATCCCTCAGCATGGCATGATATCTCATCTTCCTCATATCCTCATCAGCATCATACTGTGGAACTAGCAATGCCGTCTCCCTGAATTTGGTGGTGATCTTCGCCACAGTCTCTGTAGTCTGGTGAAGATCCTGGAACTCCCTCACCAGCTGCTCCACCTCAATGGCCGGTGCAAACTCCTGATAGAACCTCTGCACAAAGTCTTCCCAAGTCATCACAGTAACAACCGCCATACCAACCACTCGGGTAACCTCCTCCCACCAGTCCCGCGCTCGGACCCTCAGCAAGCAGGACACGAATCCCACTTTTTCTGCCTCGGGGCAAAAACTCGTGCGCCGAGCATTCTCCATGTCAGCGATCCAACGGCGGATAGCGATGGGGTCCTTAGCCCCAAAGAACTCAAGCGCTCTGCACGCCTTGAACTCCCGGAACGAGGGAGTTCGAGTCCCAATCTAACCCGCAACAATCTCGGCTCGAAATGATCTAATTCGCTCCTCTATGATCTCCATAATCCCTTCCTTGACGGTACAAAAAATTACCAGGGTAGCATCAAGGATGCCGCAAGTAACCTCGGTTGCGATAAGCTTACACAGCCTCTCATCAAGCAGTTCCGCAACGGAACCAGAACCCGAACCTCCACATGTAGTGTAACACCCCGACTCCCAGGTACAAGTTTCAAAGCATTATATACACATTTATGGACCTACTCGACGAGTTGGTTGCCCCCAACTCGTCGTGTAGAGGCGGGTTAGCCCGCGTGGATTATTGGATCTACTCGACGAGTCGGAGGACCCAGACTCGACGAGTAGGAGCTGGGAGATGAAACCCTAAATTTTAAGGTTTGCACCCTATTTAAAGGACCTTAAGTCCCTTCCTCCAGTCCTTTACCACCCCCTTGACGGCTAAGAGAAACCTTAATCGCTATTAACCTTGTTCTTGAGTGATTATGAGGCTTAAAGAGTGATTTTGGTGCTTTGTGTGAAGAAGGTGTGAAGTATAAGAAGCTTGGAGCAAAAAGGAGCTTGTGGATCTGACTCTACTTCATCTTGGAAATATTTTGAAGGTAAAAAGTCGTTACCTTGGCTTATCTTTAGCTAAATCTCATCATGTTTGGGTTTAGGGCTATCTTTAGCA